TCAAAATGCGAGAAAGACACACTATCGTTCTCTTTGAAAATTACGCTCGAATCAAATTTCCAAAACAGAATTTACTTCTGAGCGCTTTACAAACTCTCAAGGGTCATTTAAGCAACATCGTTCAAAGTAAAGCGATTAAATGAGGCTTAAAGAAGATTTACGGGCTAAGGCGGATAAGAGGAGGATAAGCAGGGGATAAGAAGGGATAAGCTGCGCAAAAAAGCAACACATTTATGGTATGTGGGTACTTGTGGGATTAATAAGAGTTCCAGAATGTAGGGTTGAAAAAAAAGTAAACTTTGAACCAGGAAGATGTCCAAAGGAAAAAGCTAATGAAAATTTATTAAATGAATGAGAAATAGCTCCTAAATGAGTTCAATAGGGTAGAAAAGTGCGATTTGAGTACGTTATATGCTTGGAGGGACGAGAAGTGTCGCCGACGTGGGGGCGCTCGACGCCTCGACGTCCGGCTATTCGGCTTGTTCGTCAGTATCGATCACCCTAAGGCTAAGAAGGGTGGCGCTAGAATTGGTGCCTTGGGTACTCTCTGGGATTGGAGGCTTAGTCCAACATGCAAATTGCATAAGTACAACTCCCCGTTTGTGAATAATAAGTCTCGGAAGAGTGGACTTTGGACATTTTCGGAAGAACATCGACCTTTAGTGGCGGTTATTCTTTACAGAGTGAAGAGTCTTTACAGAGTATTAATGTTAGGTAGTTATCTTGCCATTTGTAGATTTTAAAGTTCTCTTCCTTACATAGGTTGTGGAAAACCTTAGATCGGTTTTTTATGCTTAAAAATTGGCAATTGGTTATCCCAGTATGCATGGATGAGCTTAGCACTTCCACTTGTGCATCTATTGAGGAGGAAAAAGTCCCATTTCCGTTCCAATAGCGTTTATTTTTCTAAAAGAAGATTCACACTTGCAGGAATTGCTTGGAACTTGCCAGAAATATTTTCAAAGTTTTTTCGACGTTGACCACAAATCCCCGATATACAACGT